AAGAATCATGCTCTCCGGTTATATCTCTGGTGCCGAAAAATGACAGTAATACTCACACCTCATAATGAAAATTAGTCACATCTCCATGTCTTTCTTATGGGTTTGAACATACAAGTACATGTATACAACATTTAAAATATAAAAATTAAAGACGAGTTTACTTACGCCTTATGCATACTTTTGATTGGGAAAGTAGTGTCTCATGATTCAGATTTAGACGATATTAAGTACAATTGATGAGATGTGGCATATCCATAAATGAAATGATATTTTGGCAAGACTTTAATGAGGCAAACAAAAAACACAAAGGTTCACCAAAATAGACCTCTTAATGTCACCACGCGATCTTCGTTGATTTACATGCGGCAACAACGTATAGCAAATGGTCTGTACGGTATTGATGTCTGATTGTAGACTTTAATAGAGAAATCTGACACCAATAGCAAATTGTAAACAGATAAAAAAAAAAACAGACAGCAGAAACCACCAACAAGACATCTTATTAATTTTGGTTCCGATATTTGTGGCCATTTCTCAATGATAAAACTCTCAAATCTTATATCCAAATTTGACGATTTACTATAAAGGAGTCAGAACATGAAAGAAGAGATAATGTCTTTTATTTTTTTTTATCAAACATGTACAGGGTAATATATGCAATCATACAATAATTTAATTGATTTCTTAAAAGTTAAAATACGTTGAATACTGACACTAGTTTAAGTTTAACAGACAGATATAAATAACGACAATGCTATACAATGTTCTTTTGAAGTGCAGGTATAATTATATAAATGTACTTAAAAAATAAATTAAAAATGTTTGCTAAAGTCAGTTCATAGACGAACAAATAATTACTTCTATTTTTTTTTCTCAAAATATATAAAAGATATAAAAATCATAAGAAAGCATACATTATCTATGGAACCTATTTTCAGAAAGCAATGAACATTTGAGGCCAACGCATACATGTCATTTGAATTGATTGTGTAACTTAAAGACCGCCAATGGTATGGCAATACATTATTTTTTGATAATACAGAAAGTGTATTATGGAATAAACTTCGGACACATGATTATCACCAATGAACGTCACCCCATTTCAAATATGGGCAAGCAAATGACTAAATACATGTAATAAGCTAAAAATGACACTGAGAAATGGAAAGTTGTAACACATTTTTACGATAAAAAAGCTTTTCAAGTAATGTCATGACATGATATTTTGTCAAAATAGGTATGCTTGTACAACATAACATTAATATAAACACTTTGTAACTCAGTATTTTACTGGGTCAGCTACGACTATCAAGATTAATATAGGAGTTCCAAAATATTTACAGAACTTTCTCAAAAACAAATGCAAATGACTGACAATAACATTTATAATTTCACAAGTCATTCACAGTGTACAAAATTTTCATTTAGAAATGAATACAAATAAATAATTATTTCTGATATCGCTATTGACTCGTTTAAGCTATTTAAACATCTTATTTAAATAATAAGTTTAATCAAATATCATAGAATCAAGTGTACATGGTTTTGTAACAAAGGAATTGACTTCCTTTCTTTTATATCGCAATTTTACTTTATTCAATTTACAACACAAAAAGTGACCGTTGCTACTATTATAAGAATAAGAATAACGTTATGAATGCAATACTGTGATCTTTAAACACTAAATCAAACGTTAACTTGTAACCATAGGATTAATTGTGTTTCATTTTCAAAAAATAACTGAACTCATTCATTTTTAAGTTAATTGCGTAATACATGTATATTTTCTTGTTTTAAAGAGTAACAATAAAAAATACCTATCCTATGTTTAAATGACATTTGATGTACCATACTTCCAAATACTTCATCAGTTTTATTACGCATTTTCTGTCAACATAAAAACTATTATCACGCCGTTACCATGGTGTTATTTGTCGTTTATATTGTATTTGATAACATATCACAGATTTCATACTATTAAGAGTGTACTATCATGTATACAGTACAAATACAGTTCCCATTAAAAAATGTATCTTTTACTGGACAAAATTTACGAGCATCCATTATCTGCAAAGTTTATGCATGACAGAAAACGAATTTCTCTTGTTCTTATTCTAATTTATAAGACCAATGACCAAATTTTCTTGGTTTCCTATGATTTTGCTATGGTGACGTTTTTTCTCCACTCTCTTGAAAATTTAATTGTCTGGAGAGGAAAAGTATGGTATCACACTAGATGCAGTGATAGCTGGTTGAACTATATGTACCCGAACCAAGGTAATTCATTTATACTTTTGAATTTCATTTGGTCTTTTTTTGTGCGAGGAATTATATACGGGGAATATTGGGAATATATATTCGAGTATTATGAAAGAATATACACACTGTGGTGTATGTGTGGTTCTTTAGCATAATAAATGCTATTATATCTGAATTCATTGTATAAATCTGCCTTAAATAACAGTTTAACATAGTTCAGTATACACCATTGACAAAGCGATAAAATGAATTTTGAGGGTTACGGCAATGAGATAGCAATCAGACAACTAATTAAACCATAAACACCTAGTGGTCAATAAATAGTCTTCAACAATAGCCAACATTTTACTATATGTGAACCCTATACAAAAAATAACTCATGGTCATTTTTTTTCAAATATGCAAGTAAAGAATTTTTAGTTATGAGTAAGTTCGAAGAGTGTGGCAATTTTTTTTTATAACGGATTTATGATCGAGCCGTTATACTCCATTATCATATACACAACTAAATACAGTATTAAGTTGTTTCAAACCACATATACCTCATTTTAAAGGGGAAAGACAATGAAAAATATCACTAGTTTTTCATGTGCATCACCATTTCATCCATATTGTTCTGATGTAAATAATGATAACAAATCAAACTATTTGTTTCATTATATCACAATTTCATTGCTGACATTTTGGTACACTGATTCAGACTTCGGAAATTGTCAAAGAACGGTTTTATTCTTTTATAAGTTAGTAATGAAATAAATTATCATAATAGATAAAATAAATAGGGCAATTATTGTATTATTTTTTCATAAATAATTAATATTTATTCACAAATTGTTTTATACTACATTTTATGGCATAATTCTGTCATTTTGTTATGCAAAACAAATAAATGCGTCAAAACTTCACAATATTTGGGATGACAATTATTCATATAATATTGCGACTTACTTTTATTTAATATATATCATTCATATGAATCGAGCACATGTTTCAACAGTTCAAATGCATACATTGTATAAACATTGATATGGGAGTTATCCGCAGGCACTGGGGCATGGACCCTGTTTTTGTTTTCTTTTCCTTTTTTCGTGGTGTTTAAATTTTGTTAGTGAATTTCTTTAATATTTTAATTAGTTTTTACTTAATTAATGTGAACTTGCTCTTATCCATATGATATTGCACTGGCAGTAGCTTACATATTATGCTGGCCCTCAATTCTTATACCCTGGCCTAATTTCTTAACAAAGTGTGTGTTATATATACTATTTACCAATAAATTCAAAAGAGAAATTAGATGTTGAGTAATCTGTATGCTCTTTTGTTTCCTAACTAGTTTTTAACTATTACTAAGATTGTTAAAAGAGTTTCCTTTAAAGCTTTTGCATTGATCAATTACTCTTTTTTGTACTAAATATCTATTAAGAATCAAGATTTTTTAATGGCAAATACGAGTAAATTTTGGAGTCATTAAACCAAAGTGTTTTATTATGAACATGTTCACATGCATGCTATTTGAACTTTTTTCGTATATTAAAAGTATTATCTTCAAGTTTCAGCTAGCGTATTTAAACACAACAATTTTTGGGGCGTACTTGTTTCAGAGGTTTTTTCTACACCATATAAATCACAAGGACATACGATTTCACAACGTAATATTTATTCAAACTTAACTTATCTAATTGGAGATGTTTTTACTGAAATCTTCTGATATGGAAACTTTATCGCTTTTCTAAACATATGTTCTTAACCTATACTAGCTTTTGTAAACGGTGGTGACTCTGAAAAAACCCAGACAACACCATGCCATAAAGTTAAAAACCCAGACAACACCAAGCCATAAAGTTAAAAACCCAGACAACACCATGCCATAAAGTTAAAAACCCAGACAACACCATGCCATAAAGTTAAAAACCCAGATAACACCATGCCATAAAGTTAAAAACCCAGACAACACCATGCCATAAAGTAATAAAGAAAAACAAACAACAATAAACAATAAATATTACACTGACACAAAATATTTAGCACCAAGGCTTGGAAGAATTCAGGTGCAAGGATCAGCAGTATCTGCTCAACTAGTTACATTCTATAGTTATCTATTATAACAGTATTTTCTCATGTTGGAGGACAGATGTGTAGTTCATAGCCATTTAAAACAATCGAATATTATAAGTAAAGTAAAGCAAACCAAAGTTGCTGTGTTTGATACACTTTTATGCATTGGCCTTCATGAGAAACATGCAATGAGTCCATAGCTCACTACTTTTTTGTTAGTATTATTTTTTCATTTTTCTAGTCGTTTACCTAGATCAAACTTTTTTATGAAATGTTTCCTTTGTAAGTGTTTACTTTACGGCAAAACAATGACCTTTAGATAGTCACCGTATTTCTCAGTGGTCTTTTTTTATTTGCTTTACTACTGTTGCATAAATTTACTATTTATCACATCTTCTTGTTTTCACATGTGTCTTTAAAATTGTGTCAGTGACCATTGGATAGACACATACAGAATATGAAATTCACAGAAGTGGCATAGACTTGAAAATATGCATAAAGAAGTAAGATGTAATTTATTGTGTGCAACAGGAAAGTCAATAATAAAAAAGTATATTCATGAAACAAACAATGTGATAGGCTGTATATTGATTACGTTTTATCTGGACTGCGTAATCCTATAACCTTATATCTATATATGCAAGTATCAATACACATTCTTAACATTTCTCCTTTTCTCTTTTCAGGATGCCAGTATGGATCAAATTTTGTTTTTATGTATAGTAACTTTATCAGTATTATTGCAATGCTCTGCGAACCATTTATCAGGGAGCTATTATAGGCGTTATCCATATCAACTACCACCTCGACCATCAACACCAAAACCCAAACCAACTACAACTTCCACGACAACCACAACAGCTGCAGGGGAGTATGAGCCCCCTGAAATGGAAGGAGTTACATCGACAACAACAACGACAGCAAAACCGACGGTGAAATCGACAACTAAAAAAACACCTCGTCCTTATTCTGGATATCAATATCCACCGTATAATTACAATCAGCATTATCAACAATCGCCGTATAATGCGCAACACAACCAAGGTGGCAGTTATTCATATAATCCTCATAACGCGCAAGGTGGCAGTTATCCATATACTTATCAACACGGACAACAGCAACAGCCGTACAATCAGCAAGCACATAACAATCAACAAAACCAGCATCCATATAATCAACAGGCAAATAATCAACAGCCATATAATCAACAAAACCAGCATCCATATAATCAACAGGCAAATAATAAACAGCCATATAATCAGCGAAACCAACATCCATATTATAAACAGGCAAATAATCAACAGCCATATAACCATCAGGCATACAATCAACAGCCGTATAATCAACACACAGGACACAATAAAAATGCATTGAGTAATCAGCAAAAGCAGAACCACAAACAATATCAGCAAACTACTATGAGTTATCAACAGTATCAGCAAAAGTATCTTCAAGGATATCAAGCAGGACAAAATCAACAACAAAGATATCAAAATCAACAACCTTACCATAATCAACAACAAAGCATGCAACGGAACCAGCATCGATCAAATGGTATTCCCACGCCTCCACCAAACAAACCGCGACAGCAGATTTTACCGAATAAACAGCAGGTATTTCATAATAATGTACAAAACTGGGGTCATACGGCAAGTAACAAAACACCCGAACTTTCTTTGACTGGTAAAATATCATCTGTAAGTGTGCAAGGACAGCCAGGATGGGGCAGTGGTCTTCAAGCACCCAGCAATGCTTATCAACAGCAAAATCAGCCAATTCAGACACAGCTCTCCACAATGCAAAATATCAAAAACCAACCAGTGCAAGGGCCAATCACAGCAAATTCAGTCCAATCCCTAAACCAACAAGGACACCAAGTACATCAAAACGCATATCTTCCAAATGCAGGTGAACAACAAAACCAACAATTAAAACCTATACAACAAGCACAACAGGTTCCGATTACTACACAGCAGGCAGCAGTGCGGAGACAAGCTCCTCCTAATACGAATTTGATGAACCAATATGTTCAGGCAATACAGAAACTACAAGCTCAAATGAATAATAATAAACCTGTTAATCCTCCATACACCGCGTTAACGGCACAACAGCAATCAATACAGCAACAAAATGTCGTTGTTAAACCTATACGAAGGGAATTTCAACAGCCTAGCCAGCAAAATCAATTGATCCCCGATAAACAATCAAGTAAAGATATGTTCAGTGCGCCGGTATCTGTTCCACCTAAACTATCAGGCATACAGCAGACCAAACTTAAAGATTCATTTAACAAAGTACTTGGAGTAACAAAACCGTCAACAACTATCAATCCGTTCATGGATTTATTTGGATTAAATAATCAAGGATTTGTGCGAACAACTGCACCTACACCTACGTCTGCGCCTCAACAAGATCCGTTCTTTTCAATGGCACAATCATTTGAGACGATGCTTAGAACTGGATATGCTGCTTCAGCACTCACTGGACAGGGACCAATGTTTCCATCATTATTCGAGTTGTAAACCAAATAGTTGTGGGAATGTGTCTTTCTACAAACAAAACACGTGCTTTAACTAGCAATGTACTTTTATCTCTTGGAAAACTCATTTGGCGGCATAAACATATATTCTGTATTTATAGGACATAAAGTAAATAAACGTTTCATTACGAAATACTGAATGTCCAGATGTTACTGTCCGCAACACTGGTGGTCAATACAAATAGTGGGTGACTTTGGTCAGTTTCCGAAGAACTCTGTTAAAAACGATTCAATCTCAAAAGCTGTTTTAAATAGTTTTATAGCCATTGGAAAACAACACGTGTTGTGCAGTTATTATTTATGCCAAACTATAGGAAATATTACAGAAGGGTTGTAATATAAATCAAGCAAATCTTGATACAGCCCAGAAAAGTAATATCATGCAACGAATACGACACTAAAGTTTGAATGTACATATTTAGCGTTATATCAATGTTTGTACATATTACGAAATAACAGTATTGTAGTGATGTTATGCAATCAAACTTTGTTATGAAGTGTTTCTGATTTTGAATGTTTGTCATGATATTGTGTAATTATACAGTACCTATGCTATCTCATTATATCTAGTTTCGTCGAATTTCATCTAGGAAGAAGAGAATGTATATTTATGCTAGAGAAAATCGATATTTTCACAAGAATGGGTCTGGATTTTCAAAACAGGAGCATGACGCTTCAATAAAATATATGTAGATAAATAACTTTTTAATGACATAAAGCAAAAAATAAATAAAAGGGAGCCTGCTGTAGACGATCTCTGTCGATATTTACGGAACCGTATCACTGGTAAATGATCAAAATTAATTGAACGTTAACATTTCATTATACAAAATAAAAAAATATAATAAAAACTAAACAGCCAAGAAAACAAAAAAAGATACGTCCAATTGGTTATAATAGAAGTTATCGCTATTTTTTCGTTTTTTTTAATTTCGAATATAAAATATAATTTGTAGCAATAACGACACCTTGTTTACAAATCGTGCATATCTATTATATATCATGTTGTATAATAAAAAAAAAAGAAACGCTGTGTAAAATCCAATGCTCCGTGTCTGAATGGTATCCTTTTCATATTAATGAAAAGGGAATTTGACAGGGAGTTGCAGATATACCAAATTTGTCCATAGTGTTTTAGGAAATTATTTATTGTAGAGCTAAAAAGTATGAGCGCAAACATTCAACACATGTATATAGAATAAGCGAAAGATATGAATATGCCATAATAACTGTAAAACACACACACACATGTATATACATAAACTATATCGATTTCTTCGTCGCTATAATATTTGGTGTATTAAATTTGAACTCATGTTTTCTGAGTATATCAGAATATAATTGTATAGTTAAAATGGTAATGTTAAAGACGTGTCCCTTGATTTTATAAGATTACTGTAAAGTTAAACTGGTGGCGTTTGTTATATTAACATATTACTGGTTTATTTATACTGTTTTATTGTTACTTTGATTGAACATGGTTAGAAGTTAGAAATACAGGAATTTCTACTTGACAATACAAGATATTGGCTAAGGTTATTGTCCGGGTAACAATTGTTTTGATCACCTTTCATCTGTACAGACATAATCATGTGCTTCTAATTAATAAAACTGTTCTTTCTACATTTTCCTTTTTGAACTTCTCAATGCTAACAGTAGCAGCAACAATACTAGTATGCTTTCTTTGTTATTGATTTGTCTTAACATTACATTGTGCCTTGTCTGTCCTTTTATAAAATTTGAACCACCAAATAATTGATACTTTTTGACTCAACTGTCAACTATGAATAAAGCACCAATAAACTCTTTGCATACTGCTATTGTGAAATTTGTGAAAAAAGTTTTTTTTTCTGTTTTACCAAAATATGATTGAAATTTTTGTCAGCATATCACAACTGCCTTAAATGGTGTTAGCTACTTTATCCTTTTAGGCCTTTCCAATTACCATACGCAAGATAAACAGCTACGTAACCAAGGACATTTTATTTTAGGTTAGATGTATGCTTACGAAGGAATTCTTGCAGAAACTCTTTGAATTGTCTATAGGTAACCTGGTACAGGGAAAAAAATTGAAAAAAACCTCTTACCAACATGTATTCTCTTTTCTCCGTGACACTCCATTCCGGTTATCATCCAACTGGCAGAACCTACTTATTTTATTAATAGTATATTTTGTTTTCGACATAAAATTGGCATGAAATCTACGCCACTAGACGTGAGTAAAACAACAACAAATGTATAATAAAGTTGACAAAGATTCAGTATGCACGTGTTTCAGTTAAAACAAAATGGTCGGTATCAAACGGTTTGTTTTGCATTTCGATGCTTATTAATCTGATAGAAAACGGTAACACAATTTCATCATAAAATCCCTTTCAGAATGTTTTCTTTCATATTTTGGATTACAATTATGCTGTTGATGTCGTATCTGTTGACCAATGATGCGGAAGAAGTATCCACTGGCAAATGCGATTAATACTTCAACAGGTCATTCCGCAAAATACTGTCACATAAAATCAGGGTCGTGTCTGTGCTGTTAGGAAGAGAGGTAATGATACCAAAGGGATGTTCAAACTCATAAGTCGAAAACAAACTGACAACGCCATGACAAGAAAAGAAAAACGACCAAAAGACAATTAACAGTACAAACACACAACATAGAAAACTAAAGACTAAGCAACACGATTCCCACCCAAAACTCGAGGTGATCTCAGGTGCTCCAGAAGGGTATGCAGATCCTGCTCCACATGTGGCACCCGAGGTGTTGCTCATGTAAGTACAAACCCGATGAAAAATCGTATTCTGGAACGCCACAGCTGTCTTATGTGGAACTCTGATATTACGTTTTATTATACTTCACGAAAAAATGCCATATTTTGAATCGCTAATACGAGGGTGTTAATTTACTCTATTACCATTCACGGAGACGCTTGATCAAGTGTGCGCTTTATTAAATACGACTCTATCCTATGGCAAATACTCTATTGGCTTCGCCTCAGTTGACAATGTTTTCTCGGGGTAACAATCTGCTCTATCACCCTCTCAGCTATGTGTTATTTAATTTATTATACTGAAAGTTCTGTTATTACTGTCGATTAAATTTCAAAGTCAAAGTAATAAACTATGACGTCTTGTACATAACAACCATCCGTATTTAATAAAGCGCACACTTGATCAAGCGTCTCCGTGAAGGGTAATAGAGTATTTGCCATAGAATAGAGTCGTATTTAATAAAGCGCACACTTGATCAAGCGTCTCCGTGAAGGGTAATAAGAGTATTTGCCATAGGATAGAGTCGTATTTAATAAAGCGCACACTTGATCAAGCGTCTCCGTGAAGGGTAATAGAGTAAATTAACATCCTCGTATTAGCCAATCAAAATATGGCATTTTTACGTGAAGTATAATAATATAAGTTATATGGTTCGCTACTGACCCCCTACGGATCCATAGAGGGTTAGTAAAATCCATAGGGAGTGAGGCCGAAGGCCGAATCTCCTATGGATTTTATTCACCCTCTATGGTCCGTAGGGGGTCAGTAGTGAACCGTATAACGAATTTATCGCACGCGGGACTTTTTCTGCTGCGTTTTGTAGAAAAATAAACAATGAAACACAACAACATTAATAGATGACGTCACCATTAACAGTAGACGTGACGTCATGAACCCCCTATGAAATTTACTAACCCCCTACGGATTCATAGAGGGTCACCACGTGACGGCGTTAAACCAATCACAACGTGATAATTTACCCGCGGTGCGATAAAACGTAATATCAGAGTACCACATAAGACAGCTGTTGCGTTCCATAGTATAGTATCGGTAGGTCACATTCGAGGAGAAGAGTGTGGCTAAACTAACTGCTAAATGATTCAAACATGTTTCCTGTTCAATGCTTCAATGTACGTTAAAATCCAAAGGCTTGTGTTTTCTTTTGTTATGAGTGTTTCTTAAGGTGGCTGGGGCGTCTTAATTGATAGAATTTTTTGATAATTTGTCAAAATGAAGTTTTTATCATGCTTTTTTCAAAAATATAATAAAAAGTATGGGTCACCGAACTTTTTTTCACGCTAGAGGTTGTGCAAAATTGTCAGATTTTGTATAGATTATGCATGGAAAATCAAATTTTGTGTGATAAAAAGAAAACTACTTGATAGAACTTTAAGATAAAATGTGAGAAGATAGCTCTTATAAGAGGCTTTCAGATAAGAATAAGAAAAAATGGGGTCATCGAATTTGTTTTCTTGCTACATATCAAAATAGGTAAATTCACAACTCTTTCTATTATAAAAAATACTTTATCTGAGTTATCTCCCCTTATTTGGCAAAGTTGAAAAAAATCTAATCAAACACAAATAAGGTGTTTTTTTGAGAAATTACAGCCGTAATTATGATAAAACACACAATTTTCTATATCTACATCAAAAGTCTATTACAAAAGTTACATACTACTCTCAAAATTGCACATTTCATGAAATATCTAGACCAAAGTTATCTGCTACTTCGAAATCCAAGATGGAGGAAGACACCCGAGCCATCTTAATTACAAGGCTGACTATTTTTAGACGAGTGAAATCAACCATAAAATTTTATTTTTAATGCAACCACCTAACTTACGGCTAAATCATATACAAAAACTACGTAATTCTTGTAAATAAATTGAGACTTTCGCAATTATATTTACTTACATTAATTTTAAGATGGAAATTCTAGCAATTCGCAATAACAATACATACACTCCCTGAATAGTTTACGTATACATAAATTATAATATAAAGATGATTGATGAATTGTTGTTGTTTGACGCAATTTTCGGTTCAGCACTTTTAGCTACTAAAGTATTTAGCGGCGATCAGGTTTTATTGGTTTAGGCCCACGAAGTGCCCAAGGAACCACCGACCATCGGCAGGAAAACTAGCAATCCCCATCAACAAAACATAAGTTATAGTTATTAGTATCAAGAACGAAATTACTGTGTATGTG